TCACAGTGAGACTCCTTTCAGCCATATATATGTATGTGATCGCATGTAGTCAAATCCAAAGTCCGAACCACAAACATACCTGCAATCACATCAAAGATTTAACCAAAAGTCCACGCACTACACGAAGTCAACTTCAATCATTCTCTATACTTATACCCCTTGCTTTAGCCATGCAAGCCCCGACCTTTACCCAACCATCCAAAATAAATACTCAGTACCTTTGTTAAATGACCATTCAATAAAAGTCCGGGTGAAAACCTTAATAAAACAATTAAAATCACCACGGTTAAAGCCTTTAGGTTGAGAAGTCGAGAGTGGATTGGAGTTGAGATAGGATTGAGTTAATCAAGGAAGGACCTGTAATACGAGACAGGTCAATGCCCAAGCTAAACTTGTAAGTGCATGTAGAATAATCTCCATATCACGTTCTTTCTCAAAATCCTTCTGATAACTAAGTCAAAATTTATCTCTAAGTCAGTGTCCAAAGAAACGTAGACCTATGACAGAATCTCCCCTATACAATTTTGATAGTCAAAATCGTCACCTGTGAAAATCTAATCTGACTCTTTTAAACTAAGAAAATTTATACTAGCTCCAATATGAAATTGAAATAATCTTTAACTCTAGAAAGTCAAATTTTGTCTAACTCCCCGAATTAGTAAATTTTTTTGTACCATCTCTTTTATAAAGGTAGACTTCCTATATTTATAATAAGTCAAATAAGAACTCAAAGTAAGACTTCAGTTCAACTAAGACAAAATTTAACTAACTTCCTAGATTTGTAAAAATTTCGGCAGCACTCTCTTTAGAAAAGTGTTATTCCAAAATTTATACAAAGCTAAGTTCATAATCTAAAATAACTTTGACTTCTCAAGGTTCAATTTTGTCTAACTTCTTGAAGTAGCAAAAATTTAGGCAACACTCCGTTTAGAAAAAAAAACTTTCCAAATTTTACAAAGCCATATATAAAATGTAAGCAAATTTAACTTTGAAAAATCAAAATTTGACCAAATCCTTATTTTTTAGAAATTTCGGCAGCGCTTCCCGTAGAGAAAGTAGCTTACCAAGATTTATACAAGACCAAGTATAACAAAAAATCCCACAAAGTGTGAGAATTGTCCTAAGCTACGTAGCACCGTGTTCGCGTTCAGAGGAGAACGCGAACATGTTCGCCCGAACGCGAACAAGCGCTCAAAACCCTCCGAACGCGAACATAAAAAATATTAAAAAAATATATATATATTCTCAAAGAATTCTGAAACAAATATATGTCATGTAAAATAATAAAACAAGAAACTTTTGCCTTGGAGTCATGTTCAAATTCTCATCCAATCATGAGTTAAAAATCAAAAACCAATTTTTTTTTTTTTCTTCTTTACGAAAAAAAAATATGTTCGCGACCTGTTCGCACGAACATGTTCGCGACCTGTTCGCGCGAACGCGCGAGCATGGAGGGGTGCGAACACGTTCGCCGTGCTACGCAGGTCCTAAGTAAAAAAAAAACTTAACTCTGAAAATGCAGGACTTGAACTAACTCCTATGATTCGAGCACGTGGAGAGTAACTAAAGTGACTAGCTGTCAAATTAAAACTCAGACTAAGTGGTGATCTCACTCAGCCACATGCAAGGTCAAACTACAAAGGTGAGTACTCTCACCAGCCCAAAGTTAACCTTGTCAAACGTAGTTCGTAGTCTTTCAATGATTTATCCCTTATACCCAACTTACATAAGGCGTAAAGCTCGACCATCCAATCTTATGGAAACTTGTCTAGCTCAGTCGTTGGATATACACAAACACAGGGCAGCCCAAAACCTCTCTCTTCCTTTGGCATATGACTAGGTTGTCCAACCTAGTCGCCCTGAACTGTTTGAAGTATCCAAATTATATATAATTGTTTGCACTTAGTCCTTTAAGGTAGCATATGACTGAACCGATCAACTTAGATCGAAGTTCAGCCTGCCCCTTCTTACCACAAGTTTATTCTTAATTGCTACTCTCTTTAGTTGGTGATAGTCATAGTCGGACCATCCAATCTTATGAAAACATGTATGGAGAGATAGAGAGAGAGAGAGAGAGAGAGAGAGAGAGAGAGAGAGAGAGAGAGGGAAGTTGGGCGGGGGGGAGACCTCGGTTGCGCGTGCGCCGGGTTTGAAATCAGCTCGGGCGAGGAGGAGACCTCGGTTGCGCGTGCGTGCGCGCGCGCGAGATCGGATGGTCCGACTATGACACAAAATAAACAACACAAACAATCCTAGTCCCTTCAGTACTCATCCCATAACTTTCTGAAGCAGAGATCGGATAGGCGACACGCGAGAGACTTAGTATAAAACCGCAAGCATTCGACGAGTATGTATGTACATATAATATATAAAGGGTTAATAATATATGACAATCACTTCTCATAATCACAGTGAGACTCTTCTGAGCCATATATATGTATGTGATCGCATGTAGTCGAATCCAAAGTCCGAACCACAAAGAGAGAGAGAGAGGAGACCTCGGTTGCGCGTGCGCGCGCGCGAGAGAGAGAGAGAGAGAAAAAAAAAAAAAAAAAAAGAGGGGGGGGGGGATCTCGGTTACGTCTGCACGGGATTTGAAATCGATTTTTTTATTTTATTTTATTGATTGATTGGTGGGCCGGAGGGGGGGAGGGGGCCTCGGTTGTGCGTGCCCGCTCATTCCTATCTGATTGTGAGTTCTATACTTCCACTTCATTCCTCGCTTCCTCCATTGGACCTCACTTCCCCACACCTTCGCCTCTCACTTCTCCCTCCCTCTTCCAACTGCGTCGCAGGCGCAGCCGCGACGGGTCCCCTTGTTTTTTTAATAAATCCACCTGCGTCAACAGTTAGGAGTGATGGTAAGAGCATACACTCCTACCTGTCTTACAGGGAACTCGAATCTATTGGTGGGGAGCTACACCTGCTGGAAAGCGGGTCCAGCGTCCCCTGAGATACATTGCAATTTGAAAAATACATCATATACTAAGAACCGAAACTCCTCAAGTGCCTCTTCACCTACAGCCAGGCGCCTGATCAACATGCATTCCTAGCACTATTTCCATGGCTTCTCGGCTACTGATCCCGAGTTGTCCTGGTGCCGCAGGTTGAGAGGCAATCAATACTGGCAGACAAATGGTTGCTTGAGGATAAATTACCAAAGGGGTTGGGATCTCTGTCTGAAGCACGGGCTTAACAGACCGGCAATCCTCAAGGGTTTAGGGTTTTGGCAGGCAATCTGCCTTGGGCAGACCAAGAGGGTCGAGTCATGGCCGTCTTTGAGCGAGGGAGACGGTAGCAATAGCTGATGTAGGCAGTTTAAAACAGGAGGATGGGAAAGGGAACAAGGGGCTTGTAGCAAAAGGCTAACTGGGGCAGGGGTGATGGGATATACATCCTTCCAGATTGGAAGTAATCAATGTCGTCCACTCGATTCTCCCTACCATAAAGGAGAGAAGTGTTGCAGTGCGTTGTATGCTGTTTTCTTCTGACTTGCTGGTGGAATAGCAATTCGACTGACGCTCCCCGAAATGGATATGGAGCTGGAACCATAGGGCTTTTTTCTTTTTTATATTAAAAAAAAAGGTTTTGAATTTTAACCTTCATGCTCCTGCTGCCCGTGGGTCGAATGCAAGCTGATGGTGATTGCCACCTACCTACTGTCTTCCCGCGAGCACAACACACCTCACTATGACTTTGTGGTACCTCTTCCTGGTATACAATGCGCCCTCGTCACAACTGTCTGTCTGGGACTGGAAAGAAAGCTTGTATAGATTCATAATAACAAATGGACCTGCCGGCGAAGGACGATGACAAAAACATTTTGCGAAACACCCCAGCCATCAGTTGGATACCATCTTTGCAATGTACCCCAACGGGGCGCTGCCGACCTGCCGCCGAAGGACGATGACAAAAACATTTTGCGATTGTACCCCAACGGGACGCTGCCCAACTTTGCAAAATGCCTCGACAGCTGCCAAGTTTGTGTAGGTGCAATCGCAAAAGGTCAAGCGAATTTGCCCAACTTTGCAAAATGCCCTGGCAGTTGCCAAGTTTTCATAGGTGCAATTGCAAAAGGCCAAGCGAATTTGCACACCCGCTTGACAGGGGCAGAACACAAACATGTCAGCCCAAAAGACCATTCCACTGTGGCCATATCTTTTAGGGACATTTTGACATATATCTCAACTTATAGGGGTATTGGGAAAATTATCCTCCCCCCCCCCCAAAAAATAAGAGACTCTGTGTGTGTGTGTGTATGTGTGAGAGAGAGAGGGAGAGAGAGTTTTCCATCGATTGATTGAGCAACGCACCGACCAACAGGGGTGTGTGTGTTTTGCTGGCTTGTGATGGGGTGTGAACCGACAGTCTGTAGAGTTTTCCATCTGGTGTGGGTGAGTGATAGTCTACTTCGATTTTGGTTAAGGTAGATTATCATTTACAATGTAATCAGTGAGGGGATTCTGCAGACTGTTGAGGGTTTAGCCTCCTGATGAGTCGGTGAAACTCCGATGAAACAGTTTGTCACAGCCCCTCGTTTGTTGTCCTCTTTTCTCTCTTTGCCTATAGTTTACCGAACAGTTTTGTTTGTGATATATATATATATATATATATATATATATATATATATATATATACAGGGTTACCTGACCGAACGTTCGGGGGCCCCCGGGCTGGACCCCGAACGCGGCCCCCGAACGTTTGGGCGTTCGGGGTCCCGTTCGGGGGCCGAACACCTGTTCGGCCCCCGCCAAAACTTGTTTCGGGGCCTAAAAATACGTTTTTTTTTCTGAATTGTTTTTTGTGAGTTCTCTATGATGTAAACTACACGCCTATAAATTTTGAAGTCATTCTGCTAATCCAAAAAAACATTAAAAATCGTCAAAGATGGGGGTGTCAAAACGTGCTCGCCCACTCACTATTTTGTTTTTTTTTTCACTTTTAACGTTTTGTTTTCACTTTATTTCGGGGCCTAAAATACTTTATTATTTTTTGAAAAAACTTTAATGAGTTATTGATTATGTAAACTACATATCTTTAAATTTTCAGGGCATTTTTCAATGCCAAAAAATAAATAAAAATCGACAAAGATGGCGGTGTCGAAAAGGTGCTCGCGCACTCACTCATTTTAATTCTCTTTTTATTTTTTCTTATTTTTATCATAGTGTTTATTTTCTGTATTTGATTTTTAATTCAAATTTGGTAAAGAATTTGGATACAGTGCCCAGGCAAATGTTGTTTAGTTTAGTTTACTCCATAACATATTTTGTTTTCGAAAGTTTTTGAAAACTTTTGTTTTTTTTTGTTTTTTTTGTTTTTGTCCGCGTTCGGCCCGAACGGCCAAACGCCTTCCGAAGCGGTCCCGTACGTTCGGGCGTTCGGTTTCGGGCGTTCGGCCCGTCCCGAACGCTGGCAACCCTGTATATATATATATATATATACAGTCTGTAGAGTTTTCCATCTGTTGTGGGTGAGTGATAGTCTACTTTGATTTTGGTTAAGGTAGATTATCATTTACAGTGTAATCAGTGAGGGGATTCTGCAGACTGTTGAGGGTTCAGCCTACTGATG